AAATTATTTTTTTAATCTTAGATTATATAATGAGAGGCAACCATTTTATTTGCATGATATATGACTCGAAATCAGAATTTCATACTTTCACTTAAAGAAAATTATTACTAATTTATTTAACTTGTTACCAAAATAAAATTACTTAATAAAAATTCTATATATCATTAAAAAAAAGTCAAATTATTATTCATATACTATAAAAAAGCAACATTAAAATAAATGCAATGAAAAATAAAATGGATAAAAAATAGTAATTAATTAAATTCATAACAAATTACCAACTTTTATTTATTTTTTTATGTAACTTACTAAAGGTTATATTATTTGCATCTCTAACTTATGCTCTATATTATGTTAAAAAAATTCATAGTGATAATTTATCCCAAAAAGATAAGAATTCCTTTCTTCCATCAATATAGATATATGAGAAAAGTGCATATCAATCTTGACTCCTAAAATAAATTAGAGCCTTAATCTTAACCAATGTCATTTAATTTAATTATAACTCAATTTAAAATTCAAAAATCTATTTTATTAAATGATGATATCTAGATTTAAAAACCAATTATATATATAATTTATTTTCGAATCTAAGTATCAATATTTAATATGGTGGATTTCTAAATTTTAAATTAGGATTTTAATTTTCAAATGTGAGTCAAAACTCCAATTTTTTTTTTAAATTGGAACTAATATGCACTATCCTTTATATATAGACATATAAGGCCGACCAAAATCTCAAAACTTCTTCTCTTAAACTTTTTTCTTCTTTTTGTTTAAGGACAACACCACCTTTTCATGCCTTGATTTCATTTCTACCAAGGACATTTTCATGCCCTTGACTACTCTAGTTGCCCCTAACTCCAACACCATCGATTATGCATCTGAAGTTGGTTAACAAATGAGAAAGACCACATTATTACAAAACCACAAATGCGTAAACTTAAGGTTATTGGCTTTAAAGTTAGACTCTTTGGAATTCAAATCGAGTGATTCAATGAAAGTAGAATGAATTGAGCATGGTTTAAGGTATAGGGCTAGAAAATGTATTCCAACCATGATATTTAGACCACTATCGGTCCAAACAAGTTATTCAGACTATTAGTGGTCTAAATAAGATAGGCCATAATCTAAAAGTTTTTCCTCTTAAACTTTTTCTTCTTTTCATTTAAGGACAACACCACCCTTTTGTGTCCCAATTCTATTTCTACCAAGACTGGCTTCGTGCTTTTGACTACTTTAATTACCCTGGACTCTTGCATCGTTGGTTATGCATCTAAAGTTGGTTAACGGTGGTGGAAGACTGCATCATTACAAAACCACAAACATGTAGGTTTAAGGTTGTTAGTTTTAAGGTTAGACTCTTTGGTATTCAAGCACTCTAATTCCTCAAATTCAATAAAAGTAGAATGAATCGAGCTAGGAAATGTATTCTGGCCATGTGGTTTGAACAAATTATTTTAGTCGGTAGTACTCTGAATAAGAATGGCTAGAATCTAAAAGCTTCTCTTCTTAAAATTTTTCTTCTTTTTGTTTAAAGACAACATCACCCTTTCCTACCTCGATTATGTTTCTACCAAGGTTGGCTTGATGCCCTTGACTACTTTAGTTGCCCCTCAATTCAACACCCTCAGTTACATGTCTGCAGTTGGTTAACAATGGAGGAAGACCACATCATTGCAAAACTATAAACGTGTAGGGTTAAGGTTATTAGCTTTAAGGTTAGAATCTTTGGTATTCAAGTGCTTTGATTCTTATGATTCAACAAAAGTAGAACGAATCGAGCATGGTTTGAGGTGTGGGGCTAGGACATGTATTCTAGCCATTATATTTAGACCATTTCCAGTTCGAATAGGTTATTTGGATTAGCAATGTTTCGAATAAGGCTAACCAAAATCTAGAAGATTCTTCTTTTAAATGTTTTTTGTTTAAGGACAACCAAAGTAGTCAATACCGTACCGGCATGCGTACCGGTTTTGTTACTGGAACGGTACGTACCGGATACCGGAATTTTTCGCGTACCGTTTCGGATTTATCGTTATAAAAAATTTTATGAAAAATTTGGGGGAGAAGTTGAAGAAAAAAAACAAGAAAAGGACTCAATTGAAAAAATTAAAAAGCTGAGGATGAAATTTATTAAAACAAACTCATAAGCCCAGCCCAATATTGAGCAGCCCATGAAAACCCAAACTTAACAAAACCTAGTTTCCTCTCTTTTTCTCTTTTAAAGGGAAAGGGAGGAGGGACGGTGCGGCTGCCAAAGCAGCCAAAGTTGCCAAACCCAAAAAAAAAAAGGAAAAAAAAAAGGAGAAAACAGAGAAAAAAGCCTTGATTTTTCTCCCTTCTGCAGATCCACCATCACCACCATCACCTCCATTCTTTCACCTCGGATCTTCACCATCCCCTTGCTGATCTGGCTTTGTTTTTTGTTGTGTGGATTTTTTTGGTTTTTTTGTTTATATGTTGGTTTGCTTTGTTTGTTTGCTGTTTTTTGCTTTGTTCGGTGCAGATCCGGCGGCCTTCTTTCTCCTCCGGCGGATCTGTGGCGGTGCGCGCGAGGGCTGCCAGATCTGACGCCCACCGCGGCTCTCCTACTGGTTCCGAGGCGACGGCGGCCTGATCGGGATACCGC